CAAAAAAAAAAAAAAAAAAAAAAAAAAAAAAAAAAAAAAAAAAAAAAAAAAAAAAAAAAAAAAAACAAAAAACAAAAAACGCATCAAAGTAGCCGATTGGCTGCTCAGAAAGTGTATGGCATGTATGGCATTGAACACTGGCATTCCGTCATAGTTGCCATTGTCGTCTGAGATACTGTCTTCTGAGAGTCGAGAGTAGGCCAGCGAGATTCTCCTCTCCTTGTTGTGCCATCAAACCTCGCCAAGTCCTCAAAAGATGATGAGTAAGAGAGGGTTTGGGAGCAGTGATACCTTTTCTGGTGGTGATGCGGCTAGTGGGGCTAGTGGCAGCCATGAGCAAGCTAGAGCTCAGGACCTGGGGCTTCCCTCAACCATTTTGGCCAGGCCCGGCATTCATAGCATTGTGCCTTGCTGCATAAGCCAATTGCTCACTGCTGTTGAGGTTGATAATGTGTTTAAGATCAGGGGATTTGCAATTCACCGTGTATCTTTCGTGGGCATGATCATGGAGGCCAAGAGAGTTTCGCCTTACCTCATATACAAAATCAATGACATGACCGCGAAAGCCATCCTGGCCAGGCAGCCCTTGGCTCGACAGACAGCCAAAGCAGTATGTGATTCCACTGCCAGTTGGACTGTATGCCAAAGTGCTTGGCGTCCTCCAGTCATCGGACGGAACCAGACTGCTTGGAATCCTGAGCATCCGTGTTCTGGAAGATAAGAATGAGCTATCCACACATACCCTGGAGGTCGTCAATGCCCATATGATGCTGGAACAAAACTGTACAGGTGTGGCCACAGGAGGGCACCTGTTGGCCAAGGCCCTAACCCGAGTGGCAGCTGCCAGGGCTTCTAAGGGGTCTGGTCTTAATTTCATCCATATGGAGGTGCTGCGTCTTGTTCGAGTGTGTCCTCACCAGGAAGGGGAGGTTGTAGTCCAACTGCAAAAGGAGCTTGTTGGAATAACTGAGGAAGCCATCACTAAGGCTATCAAGTATGTGATTATGATGGGACACATCTCTCGCACCCCAAATTGCCAGTGCCTTAAAATTGTGGCTGAGACAAAGAACTGACTTTGCAGTCTCTGAAGGTGTTTTTGTTCTGCTGTTTTGACTTTTAGGAAATACTGTCTCTATTACAAAAAGACTATTTAATTAAACATTTTAAATGCCATATTCTCTAGATATCTGAGCATTTGAGTGTTGGGTATATCTGAGTTATGACTGCAATGACATTAGTATAGGAACTGCCTAGAGAGCAGGAAACAAGCTGAGAGATAATGGGGGAATGATTTAACCAGAGTCCTGAAGCTTGACTGTAACTGGTTTTAACTTGGCAGGTCAGATTTATGCTTGTGAAGGACAAAAGAGTAAAGAAAAATTCCTTTTTGCAATAGAAGCTTAACACTAAAAACTGAAAACTGACAATAGTAAAGGTCTTGTAAACAGCTTACAGGAAGTACTGGGTGCTGTAAATCTCTCAGTTAGCTTTTGTTAATCTGAAATAGATCTTTCTATTCTTAAATTTTCATCGCTACATAGAATATATTTTAAAGCAGAGTTAAATCATATATACAGTATGTTGTAACAGATCTAACCATATATTTTTATCATCATCTAAAAGTACATACCAATTCAAAGTATTTAAGATTATGTTTTTAATTCTAGAAGGAAACACACTGAATAGAGCTCATTAGGACTGTTTAAAAGAGCTCATTATGGCTGCTTAAAACATTTCAAATAATAATTGTATGAACATATATATCCAGCTGAATTTAAATGGCATATACACATGCAGAGTTAAAGCTTCCATTCACATATATACGGTTAAATCTAAATTACATGCATATCCAACAGACATGTATCAAATAGGGTTTGAATAAATATGAAGGAAGAACCAGTGTGTTGAGTAAGAGGAAACTGGCTTTTCCATCTCTCACTTGCACATAGTAGCAAACAGATAGTACATTAACAGAGAGAGTAGACAGATATAAACAGGTCTTTGGAGCAAAGAAAAAGAAAGCGGTTAATCAAAGCTTCCGGTGAACAAGAAAGCAGATGATGCAGGTGGAAGAGAGCCAATCTGCTGCAGGTTGAACAGGTGAATGGGGTCCCTGTGTGAAGTGGGTGCTCTGGCAGGTCCTGTCAAAGCACGCCACTGTGTAGACATGCCAGATGCAACAGAGTCAGTGTAAGGGGGAATTAGAGACAAAGACAAAAGTAAAAGGTGAAAGATGAGACAATGAGCACCCTTAATAAAAATGACAACTAGGGCATCTGACCTGTCTGTCTTGTCCTTGGGCAATATGGCACCTGCTTACATGTTGTAAGATACCTTAGAGATTTTAAATCATATCCACTTAATGCTGTAGGAGGTTCTTCTGTATTTGTATTGCTTTCATTGGTTGAATAAAGAAACTGCCTTGGCCTTTTGATAGGGCAGCACTTAGGTAGGTGGAATAGACAGAACTGAATGCTGGAAAGAAGGGCAGAGAGAGAGCCACCATGTAGCTGCCAGGTCAGACATGCTGCCTCTTTCCTGGTAAGCCACAGCCTCGTGGTGACATACAGATTATTAGAAATGGATTAAATCAAGATGTGAGAGCTAGCCAATAAGAGGTTAGAACTAATGGTCCAGGCAGTGTTATAAATGAATATGGTTTCTGTGTGTTTATTTCGGGTGTAAGCTAGCGGGGTGGCTGGGAGGAAAAGCAGTCCTGCTCCTTCTGTTACAACTTAACAAGATACACATAAAGGAAACAGGCATTCAGAATCACACACATGTATCCACACTGTTTACACAT